ACGGCATTCTAAAAACGTATTTTAAGTTGTTGATGGCCCAAAGACGTGCGATTCTGACGGGGATAGTTGGAATTTGCACTCAAGTTAAAAACAAAGGTGATGTCTAATTTGGGTCTGGAAACGGGTTAACCTATTCTCGGTCAATGAGTATAAAACGACTATGTTTTCAATTAAACCCGGAAATCGACGTTTTGACGATATAATAATTTGAATTCATACATAATGGTGACAAACTACAAATTTTACTTTGCAAAAAAAAAATGTTTAGTTCAACGTAAATAAAAATAGCAGACCTAGCAGGTTGAAGTGTTGGACTGTTGAAATAAATTAGGAAAGAAATAAATTTGTTAAAAGTACACACCGTGTGCGTGTCACAAAGAGACTTGAAGGTAGGTAGGTATTTTAAAATACTGACACCTCATGGTATGAAAAATCGAAAGTGATCCTCCTCTACCGTGACCACGAATAATAATTGTTCCCAGCTCGCTCGAATCTAATTTAACGAAGAAGCATTATAGCTACCACCAACGATGGCGTGTGGGTAACACATGTCACGCATTTCCGTTTAAATAAATAATAACAATGTGATTTATCGACTCATAAATAGCAAGGTATCATGTATAGGTAGGTATACCTATGGGAGAAAATTATTTCATGTGCAACATTAATTTTCATTCAACGCAAAATGCAATAGGAACGTTGTGTATAATATAATATTATACACTACGTACATTATAATGTGCACGTGTAGGCGAGACGTCTAAAAAAATAAATAATTTACCACACGTTATATATAGGTACCTATTTATGTATACCTAACAAATAGGACGCCTGTATAAAATTATAGAGTTGGGCATATTTCTATTTTTCATTATTTTTTACTAAAACTGTTTCGGTCGCTGATATTTGATAATTAATTAATTACAATTTTATTGCATTTCGACCATTATTTGTCACATGTTAAATAATTTTTAGTTGAATCCAGGTAGCGTATAGAAACACCCATTTAGATTTTACACCCGTCATTGGCAAGTATAGCCAATTATATACGGCTGTACCTGCCAATTTACCGGTGGATGGTATTTGACGGATGCAAAGTGAGGGGAAATGTTGACACACCTGATACGATTTCTAGTATGGCATTATGGGAATAGAGCGAAGAGCACCTTAATAGTAGCTGTACGATTGCAAAGGGAGTTTAATTTTATAAAAATAGTAAATATAGGTAGGTAGAACTGTAGAAGGGAAGAAAATGGGCCAGCGAAAATTAAATAATAATCCATTTTGAATCGGGAAATCAAACGTAGATGTGGAGTGCATAAGTGTTGTCCTGATAATAATATTATAACTAGATTTTTAAATGGAAAATCCGTCCGAGAAATATATATCCGAATTGGTGACTGAGATGATGATGTGCCGTCATATTTTAAAATTGCCATTTCATTTTGATAGATTTCGTTCGTAATTTATAATATGATACAGCAAACCACGTGTCAAAGAAGACATATTATATAACTTGTTCTAATTTTAGGATGGCTAATGTGAAATGTATATAAAAAAAATATGTATCTGACTGAGCGAAGTATTAAAGTATATGGAACAAAAATATATAATAGGTATGTCTTGGCACTCGAAGGCACTTCTATATTATATTTTAATATTTTTCATTGAGTTAAGGCTTCAACATGCCATCTAAATGGTCATTAGCCTGAAAGTTATTTAGTAGGTTTTTTAACAGTGGGGGAGGGTACGGTTGGTTAGAACATGTGTATGTGTGGTGAGGATTTATCACTAAAATCCGAATGGTCACACATCCGGGAGCTAGTGAAACTGGTTGATGCTTGACTTCAGAACACGTTTGTGTTCTACCTCGCCACACCAGACCACTTATATATTATAATAAGACTGAGATACTAATAATTCTAATATATAATAATATGGTGTTTCCGTTACATCGTACTATCAAAACACTAGTGACGTTTAGCCAGAAAAAAAATTGGATATCATGGTACCTTCAGGGTAAACGAAACTATGTTTCATGAAATAAACTATCCTGTAATTCGGAATTATCATTATAATTTTAAAATGGCAACACGTTTTTATAGATGTATATATTATTATTTCCACTTAAGTGAATTTGTTTGTTTTAATAAGGAATATTCAACGAGTCGACGATACCGTAAATGATCCAATAAATTATTGTACATGTAACTTAAATACAATAGAAGCATAACACATTTTAATATCAAAATGTATTGTTTTTATCAAACTAAAATTACATAAATTGTATGTCTATACAAACTAACTGTGCATTTTGTTTTCACGCATTCATCCGTAAAATAATTTTCCTAAATATTAAAGTAAATAATATTATACATGTACCACGCATGCATGTGTGTTTGTGTGTGGTGTGTGTGTGTGTTTGTTTGTGACTCGTGTGTAACATAATATTTGTTTGGGTTTTATACCAATAACATGAAAAATATTGTAATACCATAATGAGATATAATAATTTTACTAAAATTTAATATTATGTTATTATTTTTGTGAAGTATAAAATAACTGTTTGATGAAAAAAAAATAAGAAATGGTGTGTTCAATCAAAAATTAATCCCGAAATACATTTAAATCACAAATTGCACAAGCCAACACAGCAATTATGTAAAAATATTATATTGAAAATCTGTTCATATAATAAATAACATTCTGATTCTATTCTATTCGTTTTACTGGCATGTAGAAATTCTCAAGAGATCAATTTAAATTAATTTTATATTTAGTCTAAAACTATTAATTTAGACATATAAATAAAATTAATTTATTATTACCAATAATATTATCTTATTATGATTTACAATTCTTACTTTAATATAATTTATTTTATAAACATTTCCTCAAAATTGATCAATGGTAGGCTGGTAGCCAAAAGCCAGCCAATGACGTTACCGCATAAATGATTCAGACAATGTAAAATATTATAATAATTTCCATTTCCTGAATATTAATTTTATCGACCAATTTATTATTTTGGTTAAAGTTTCTATTATGAAAATACTTGAAGAAGAGTAGAGATAATCACAATTTCTATAATTTTGTTTCAGTGTATAGTTAAGAATTATCTGAAATTGGATAATGTTTTTTTTTTTTTTTTTTTTTTAATGGATTTAAAAGTTTTACTTCCTCTCTAAATACAATTATATATATATATATAATATATATTCATAAAAAATTAAACATTACAGTTTTAAGTTCAAGATAATTATTCTTTGATTATAGTTGAAATTAATGTATGGGATTTTAATGAACAATAAAACTAATTTACTAAATACTTATCGAGATGTTAATGTATATTCATTTATCTCATATTAAATAGTTTACCTTTAAAATTAAATTATATACATTTTAAGTTTTTCTTATTATTAGTCTAAATAAATCCACCACGGATAAAGTGTAAAAATGTCAGGTTGAATATTTAAATCAAATAATTTTGTTTTTTTAAAGATAAATTATTTTATTAGGACTAATAATTGATAGCAGTGCATACAAATTTATTTATCAATATACACTATAAACTTTAAATAAACAGAATAAATCAATGCCTTTTAGATAACAGCTACCTATTCATTCTATTAATTGTATACAATTTATTACAGAGTCTCCAGATCTTGTTTTGAATTTTTGTAGATAATACATCTAATCGGTTTATTCGAGATCTTTAATTGATTTTGTCGGTCCGATTTATAAATTATAATACTATTCGAGATCACCGTCTGTATAATCAAATAATATGCGGTCATCATTAAATTAGATACTATATTTTGTTGATATTTATCATTAATAATAATATTATCTACATTCTACACTATGTCATTATGATTACCTAGTATAATGATTACAATCGACCATACTTAGCTTCAGCTGTTATTGATAATGTTAAAAAATATCGATTATTTCTTATTCTTATTCATCAAAAATTATTTGTAATTCACTATACGTTTGAACTTTGAATGGAAACTAATTAGTGGATTTAGTATTTACTATATTTCTGATTATGTGACGGTTTTATAAATGAGAACTTTTGAAAATCAAAAACATTATTAATTAAATATAAACTTAAATAAGAAGTTATATTAAATCGGATTAAATTTGTAGTTTAAAACAAAAAAAAAATAGGATTTAACCCTTAACAAAGACCCGTATCGATTTTTTTTTAAATGTGAGGTGATTCGTTATTTTTGGTAAAAAAAAGTGATGAGAAATGTTTGAATATTTTGCGTGTACATATACTTTATTATGTATAAGAGTATAGTATTATGATATTATATCATATATAATGATATACAGTAAAGAGTTCACGCTAAGAGGTACCACTGAATGTTTCAGATGGGTGACATTGTATTGAAATAGGGTTCTCGGGAGGTGATAGGGAGCACTTAAATACATATTTTCAGGCCAGTTTCAAATTTCTCACTCGGTACGTGCCTTAAATGTCCATAAACAACAACTGATGGAGGGTTTGTTTCTAATACAAAATATAATAAAATGGAATTAAATATGCAGGTTCTGACTGCAGCAGGTTATACTTATTTTGGATATCAAAAGCTATTATAATATTGCTTTGATTCATACGTTACTTTGATTATAATACACTAATACTGAAATTTTAAAATAAAATCAAGTCTACATAACTATGTTATAATATTACAATCTCAAACGTACATTTCAAATACATTTAAAACCTCAAAAAAATCGTTTGGTCCGAATAGATTAGTTTAAATATAATGTTATATTTTATTACTCCAAACGAACAGTTTGCCGGTCCCGTTGTTTAACCTCGAAAAATTAGAATTCGAGTCCGAATCGAATACACTGCTCGACGTTTATATTATGTTAGAATTTAATCTATCGCGTTATGACGTAATTGTCATAATAAACTGCTGAATATTGTCCGATTACTTATATCACCGACTGTGTTGTTGTTGCAGGAACGCTGGAACGAGATGGTGGTCAGGGTATCGATCACACCGTGGGAATTGTTTTCCGCCCTCAGATCGTTTCTGTTGCATACAGGATGGCATAAGTTTTACGTGTTGCACTCGATCACGATTGACGAGAGCGTCAAGACGATGCTGAGCATAGCTCCGTTAAGCTACACGTCGGTGCCCATATCTTCCGACTCGTCAGACCTTATGCTGTTCAGGTACGCGAAATGCGAATCCATATTATCATAATAGAGGCACATTTAGGATTTTTTTAAGGGAAGTGTCACCAAAATATGTATAAGTATATATTATATAAATTAAAATATAGTTGAGGTTATATTATAAAAAAAAAAATTAACTAATAAACTCCATCGGTCAATCAGGACATTTATATGTTGTACCTACGTGTATGGAAAAAAATAACATCGATGATATTAATATTTTTAAACTTGAGTCTTAGTTACAAAATAATTTAAATATAACACGTGCTAAAAGGGAGTGCCATAGACTCCAAACACCCCCCTGCACCACTGTGGCATATAATATATTATACTCTACCGATACTATGAGATATGTATAATAATAATAATATTATGTTATGATCGCGATTGTAAATTCTGAGTTATTATTGAACACTGTAGTTCTGGTTGACTTTACAGGTTGAAATGTAGGTACTATTTAAACTTTAACGATATAAAAATATATATCTACCACACATTATTTAAAAACATGTAAACAGTATAAAAATGTCACACGCTTCCTAATTCCGTTTGTTTAACTGCTTTGCATTGTGACAAACACTAAAACGTACAATATACTTAAAATGTTCTATTACGAACATATTTATTAATACAAACTTTTATATCGTTCTAACTTTCTAACTAAGTTTGTAACGTTTGTATATCGTGTATTTAATATCGTAATATACAAACATTGACCAAATTTCAACTGAGTTAATGAATACAAATTGTTGAAATGTCAAATGTCAAATTTCAAAATTATTTATTGTTGGCTTAGTTATATATCTAGTTATATCAAAATGTGAATAGTTTTAAAGTAATTAACAATTTTTGTTTACTATTAATGATTCAATGTTGGCGCCTATTTTTATTTTTTATTATTAATTAAATTTAATAGATTCAAATTGTTTTTTTAACATATACGTCATATTATATGGGTTTTAATCCAACATTATTATTCTACTTAAATTATAATTCTATCCATAAGATACGATTTTTGAACAATATATTGTTGGCGTACAATAATTAACAAAATATTTCAAACATTGACATTTTTTCACTGATTTAATTTTTGTACAATAGTAATTACTATCTTATAATTATTATTAGGTATATATCATGTAATATTATTCATGTTTTCATTTTTTATTTTATGTGTGAATATATATTAAAAAAGCCATTTTTACAGTTCTACGGCATTATTAAAATTTCCGAGTCCTTATTATTTATTTATTTTTTTATTTTTTTTTATAAGCTTGACACTATGCGACAATATGTCATCGATTTCTTCTTAAAACTGACCATGTATGTAATATTATTATTATGGTAATATATTTATAATTCTCAGAAAATCGTCCGGTGGAATTACCTCATCGTTTTCCGTGACATTTTAGTTTTACTCGCACAACGTACCAACACCCAATTACCATAAATCGTTCGATCGAAAAATAATTTCCCAATACCCCGTAGACTGTATATTATTATACAGGGTGTATCTTATGTCATTGTACGCGGGGTTTTTTGACGATTACGGAACGATGATATGGAATTTCGTTAAAACGAAAAAAGACGTGTTTCTTTATTTTTAACAAGCAATTTTTTTATAACAATTTCAAAATTTTTAAACACGCAGGTGTACCAATAGCAAAATCAACTTTTTTTTTTCAAATGGTAACCACTATATTTTTTAATAAATTCTGGTAAAGCTTTTTTTTCTGAACATTTTGGTAGTCGAATCGTCAATTTTGGTTCGCTAGTTTATTAACTATGGCCCTCCAAAGATTAGTAAAATATGCATTAATACTTTTAATTAAAATAATAGGTATAGGTTAAATTTACAAGCGCTAAACAATTTTTTCTTATAACTACCATTTGATACACTAATATTGTTGAATCGGTAATCTAATGACACCCTCAAAAAAAAAAAAAAAAAAATAACAAACATAATTGTTTGTAAACATACTTCATTATTTTTATTTTAACATACGATCATAAAAATCAATATTATTATTTTAATTAATTATTATAATCGTAATTAATTACTTTACATTTTTTTCATCACAGTTACTTTTCTTACAATATCATAAATTTGAATTCTTAATTAGGTAGGTAGCTAAGGTAATAATGGTAAATTGGTAAATGGTATTCGATTGTTGACATTAATATGTGCAACGAAAAAAGTGCAATGTTTGTGGTGCTCTTTTCGTAGTGGTATAAAGTATAAACGTGATATTTTAACCATAGATTCCCTAAAATGGTATCGCATCCAAAGTATGAACTTAGGAGTTGTAATTCAGCCCTTTCCATCCTTTTTAGTTTTGGATATTAAAATAATAATATTGATTTTTATGATCTTATGTTAAAATAAAAATAATGAAGTATGTTTACAAACAATTATGTTTGTTATTTTTTTTTTTTTTTTTTTTGAGGGTGTCATTAGATTACCGATTCAACAATATTGTAGTGTATCAAATGGTAGTTATAAGAAAAAATTGTTTAGCACTTGTAAATTTAACCTATACCCATTATTTTAATTAAAAGTATTAATGCATATTTTACTAATCTTTGGAGGGCCATAGTTAATAAACTAGCGAACCAAAATTGACGATTCGACTACCAAAATGTTCAGAAAAAAAGCTTTACCAGAATTTATTAAAAAATATAGTGGTTACCATTTGAAAAAAAAAGTTGATTTTGCTATTGGTACACCTGCGTGTTTAAAAATTTTGAAATTGTTATAAAAAAATTGCTTGTTAAAAATAAAGAAACACGTCTTTTTTCGTTTTAACGAAATTCCATATCATCGTTCCGTAATCGTCAAAAAACCCCGCGTACAATGACATAAGATACACCCTGTATAATATTATAGCGTACTACACGAGTGCCGAAGGTATAACAATGAAAGAAGGTACTTACTTTCATACAATATATAATAATAGTATACATTATAATAATTTATTATGTTCGATAAACCATTCGTTAAAATATTTGCGCCATGTTGTGGTATTCACTATTAATACTTCGTACTGCCACTTATATGCGACGTTTATCTCAAGCTTAGAATAAAATGATTCTAGGCTTATCCAATCATTTTAAAAACCATTTAGCATTAAGAACGCAATTAATTTTCGGATAACAACTAGTATTTGTCTTAAAGAAAATACGAGAAATTAAAATACAAAGTATGTTTAGTGTTCACGATTAACAATAATAATAGATTTGTAACTCTAGAGTTAAATAAAACCAATTCGTACTACAAAAATGGGTTGTTTTAAATTTGAATTCAATGATATAATATCATTGTATACGAAAATATGAGTGCCTTTGTACTCACGAATGATGTGTAAAGATCTTAGCTGTAGTACGACTTTGATTGGGGAATATAATGTCATGGTTTGAGTGGGAATTTGTATAATACATATTATACGATACAAACACGGTTTCGCGCGTATACGTAAACGAGAATAATAAATAATATTAATAATAATAATGAATCGGCCGCCGACTGTACCAGAGCGCGTTCGCACCTACCAGACTCGTGGAAATAACAAAGAAAATAATAGATAAGCAACTCGCCTGGTTTATTGGTTCTGCGATTTTAGCGCTATGGCGACGACACACACATACACACTCAAGCAGTCACATCTACATGACTTACGCCTGACGCTCGATTCCCCAAGAAAGTCGTACTACAAACCGATAGCATAGATGTTTACACATCAATAAATATTTTGGTTTGATCTACGTTTGTTGTTTTACATTTAAAATTATAATTCGTCCGAGATATTACTATTTATTTAGAATTGCACAAACAATATTTTATAATAAGATTTTTTTATATTCATAACAACTCCATAAAATTACCAAGATAGTTCGGTACCCGTTGCGTGTTTGCTCTAATTAAAAACTCTAAAATAATCATCGATATTCGTTAGGTATATTCAAATAGTTAGAGTAAAAAAAAACTGCTCTTTCAGAAAATAATTACTAGTGGAACTTGGTGATAACCTTAAAATTGTATGCGGAAATGATGTAATATCACTATTGGTCATCACTGATTGGACTTGTAATAATAATAATATATCAACGCAGATACTTTTCCCGTAAAATATAATAATATTAAGCGTAGGGAGTGCCCCTACGTGTATATTATTGTATTTAATACACATTTTTTGTGCTTTTTTCAAGGAGCACATTGTTCGCATTTGATGAGAACGGACAAAATATTACTAAACATTCAAAACTATTTCAGTTGAAAACAAAATATTCATGTACAGGATGATTACATGCTGACACCCTTTTTTAAATATATACTTGTCTTATTAAATGCCATATTTTCAAGATCTTGAGATTTTTTTTACTACCTTCTTAAGGGAATACAAACTTAAGTAGATTATTTAAAAATTCAAACGAGTAGTATTTGAGTTATTTACCTTTATGTAGGTACTATAAGGTCCATGGTAATACGTTTGAAAGATATGTGAGGCTATGGTGATTTGAAAATGTTAGTGATTAATATAATAATATTAATCTATCAATTTTATGGATTTTATCATTTACAAAAACTGTTCATATGTATTAAATACTTGATACAATATTGCATAATATGATCTATATTTTTGTAAAACCGTTTTTAAGGTTTACCTATTTTAACAACTGAGTAATTACTCGAACAAAGTTTGAATAAAGTACATCAACATTTTCAAATAAACTTATAATAATTTAATAATTAAAAATAATTAACATTAAAAACGGGAGTTTGTATCTCCTGCAGTTTGTATTCTCCACCGGACACTCCTAATTAGTACCTAAAAAAATTCTAAATAATATGATATATTATGGTCCGTGAGTATATATTTAAAATGTCCTCAAAATAAGAATTCGAACGAATTAATTATTAAAATAAGGGCGAGCGGCAGTCATGGTTGGTGGTGAATCTCTCTGAATATTTGAGGAATACACTCAATGATATTGTATAATATCTAAACACCTACAATTACCCAATATAACATAATTGTATATTATAATAACATAATATTATGTTTGTTTAGATCTATGGTGGAACTGTCGACTTCCGAGGCTTCTGTGGTGGTAGTGGTCGGCGACCGGGACTCGGCGCAAACGGTCTGGCGCCAAGCGGCCGCCCTCGGGCTGTTGCCCACTGGCAACGTGGCGTGGCTGTGGCTGGACATCGGCAACACCGGCGGCGGCGGCGTCAACGATACCGGAAAGAGGAAGGGCAACGTGCCGGTGGGAATGCTGTCACTGCGTCCCGTCGCACCACCGCAGGCTGATAAGCACACCGTCCGGGCGGCAGTGCGGGTGTTCGCCGAGTGCGTCAAGGACGTGATGGCGGCCAGGTGCGAGGGCTGGACGCCCAAGGTGGCCAGGGTCGGGGACCCGTGCGTGGACGTTTTGCGGGGCCCCGAATTCCCGGGCGATCTGTACAGGTAAGTCAATCGGATTGAGTATGTTATATTTTTTTCCCCTCAGCAGCACATCGCGATATATTATTATGATGCAGCTCTTTGAAGTCGTTGAAGAAAATAATAACAATAATAATATAACTCGAAGCACACAATCATCGATATTTGAAAAGCCGGCACGTTAGGTTAGGTTAGGTTAGGTTTTCGTTTGGTTGGGCGTGTTTTCGTGGACGGGACAAAAGCGAACGGTTTGCTGACTGTTTACCGGTGTGACATAAGTATTATTGTTATGAGGTTTGTTCGTCGCTATAACGAAAATGTATTACCGAGGGTAACACTAAACCGTCGATCAAGTCACTTAGCGATATGAGCAAACGTTTTAGTAAACAGTTTTGACATAAAATTATCGCCAAAACGATTTATAGTAAACCGTGTGCGAAAACGCGCTTATTATTGTACCCCCTATACTATAACCGCTTGACGTTATACTTACGAAGTCAGCTGTAAGACAACACTATACGAACGTCTATGCCATCGTTTCAGCGAACTAAATCTCAATAAGAAATACGCGTATCGGGGGTAGCGTTATGAATGATTTTTAAATATTATTTTTTGTAAGTATTTTTTACACAGTGTTAATTAGGGTATATTTATTACTTTTTAATAGTAAAATGAAACTTAATATAGATCTGAATTGTATAAGGTATTTGTTTTATTTTCGTTGTGTTGTGGGGTATTCTACAGATACTAATTTAATGTACTTAAATTAAACAAAGACTGTTTTATATTTCATGCATTATGGAATTGTAGAATATTGTTTTGCAGTATCCGGAATGTTCTGAGAATAATATCATCATAAAGTATTTAAATCCATATTCTGTTTACTATTTTTTTACCCTAGTATGTAGCTAAAGAGGGGTTAGTTTAATATTCCCATTAGTCGTATCAGTGTTAGCGGTTTAGTACGGTCCGTACGGACTCAACTGCAAAAACATATCGAAACATAACACTTTTTTTTAATCGATTCACTAAGTATGATAAACAGTTAGATTTTCGCTTACTACATATTTTCGTAATATTAAAATATACGTGTTTAAAAAACTGATTCATTTTCGTAGATCAATTATAATTATATTTTACAATAACCATAAATATTATTTCTGATGTCAATATCCCTTTTTCTCAACGAATACTGCACCATATTCAATAATCCACACATCGAACGATGCGTTATTGCTTCCACTTCTGACATCGCTACTCAATCACTTTGCGTTAAAAATTACGTTTAAATGAAACAAAAATTCACCATTGGGCCAACTTTTCTCATGGACACGCAACTCACAAACATCATTGACAACCGTGTATAATGGATACGCATCTAACAAACACATTTTTGCTAATATAACAACCGAAAACGACTACAGGATATAGAAAATAATCCCTTCTTCAAATTAATTTTAAGATATATTAAAACATAACAAACACCTAACGTGCTCTCTACATAGTTTTCGCAACATACAAAAAACACATTTTTTTCACAAAACCTCACAAACATACCATATTTTTTATCAAGCTTCTATAATAAATTTATTGAATGTAATACTGCGCATGGGCCAACTAATTAGTTGTAATTTAAATCACGATTTTTACGATATAATAAAAAATAACAAATTATTGTTAATTAAATTATATTTAATTTTCTGTTAGAGATATCTGTACCAATGCATTTAGTAGATAGATACATAGTTATGATATGATTAAATATTCTATAATGTTACTTTACTCGATTTTATCATAACTTAACGTTTTCTCAACTAACCATTTTCGTGAGATACCGAAAAACTGATTTCGCATCCTAAGTGTACCTATACTGCCTAACCAAGGCGCCGTGTTACCATCGTTTTTTTATTGAAATACATTTACTTTTTTTGACAAGAACGATACATAATACTGTATCAAAATATTATCATTATTATAATATGCCGATAAACGAATTAAGATAAGACAAAGATATGTTTCTAGACAGTCCGGGACGACTGGGATGCATATTATGATGTACAACACACGATTTTCATAGGGTTCATAATATATATATAAAAACACAATTCGTGGGTATTATATTCTATACGAGTTCCTTTATTATGAGTAACTAACTTTTGTGCATTCATATTAATAATTTAGGTATGTTTTTAAACGAAAATATTTTTTTAGTATTTGGTTTGATATTTGAATGTGCAGAATATAATGATTGCTAAAAATATATTTGGTTGGACATTATGGCTGAATAAAATACTTATAACTATAATAAAATAGAAAAAAATATTTATGTTTACATAATATTATCAAACTTTATATAATTTAACCACAAAATGTCGGCATATTTTACGATTACCTATACTTTATTGTTCTGGTATTTTGGATATTCTTTAAAAATACTTATAAATCTTGAAATATAACTATATTATAAGTAATATGCATTTATAATTTACTACTCATAAGTTTTAAAAAAAGGATAAAACTACAAGATTCAAAAGTGGTTTACGATTGATAGAGACTGCTCATTCCTGCAAGCACTTATATAGTTATATGTGTATATCACCAAAATCATCTTTAATAATAATTTGTACGATGCATCAAAACTGCTGTGGACGTTTGTACTCGTTGTCGATAGTAGAAAAGACAACAGAAATTACTTCTAATCCCGTCGTTATATTATTGACTTGACCCGGGTCGCCTCTGTAAGCTTGACGAATTGAACAAAATTTCCAGTATAGGTTCGCTGCAATTTAATATTATTATATTGCGACCCAGGGATCAGGCATGTGGTATACCTTATATGCGTACTATATATATTATATATATATGTTATATATTGTATAGATGTAGGTTGCGTCGTACATTAATTTTGGACGGGTATTGTTAGTGTGTTGTTTGCGATATCGTGTTGTTTTACTGAAATGTGAGTCGAAACTAATTAAAAAAGGTAAACACGTCTTTAACCCAAAATGTAGTAATGTCTTGTCATCATTGGTATAGAGACGGACCCATTTAATAATTACCTACCTTTAAGTTGTACGAACATTAACTTTTAATTTATAAATAGTTTTTTCTATTTTATTATTTTATTTTTTTCATTAATATTGTATTAAGGCTTCAACGACTAAGGTCATTAGCCTGCAAGCTTGGTAGGGTTGGTACAATAAGATTGGAACGATTGGTATGGTTGAAAACACGTTTATGTATGGCAAGGTTTTTTTCGCACTATAAAACCGGAAGGTTACCCATCCAGAACTAGTGGCAGCGGCCTTTACTTACTCTCAGTCACGTTGCGTGACTGATAGCAGCCAACGCGGCACGCCAAGAAACTATAATATTCTTGTAATTCGAATTTTTCTATAAATTCTTGAATGCCATAAAAAATTTTCAGCTTCTAATATGTAGAGATACAAATATAATGTAACTATATTTTATAAATAAATAATATTTTCAAATACATTTTGAAAATATCACTTTCAATCGATAAAATATATTTGAATAAAATAAAGAGTGGTCCTCATTTGCACATTTCACATATAAAAAATCAAATCAAAAATGGTTCGGACGCAATTCTATAACTCGTTAGGGAACGAGTAATCCCAGCATAACTATACATAGTACGTTGAGCATACCTTAATTGTGTTTGAAATTTTGAATATAAATAGCAAATTTAAACAAATGTATGTGCAGCCTTCTTCCCGCTATTAAATTAGACTGTAATTATAGCCCACAGATGTAAAATATTATTTTTGAACATTTTTAATCTTTATAGCCTACAGAAGTGATTAAACATAATATTATAATATAATTATGTAAGTATAAATCAAGACAAGTCTTATATACTCATCATAAATGTACAAAACCATTTACGTTTTCTATATACTTCAGATTTAATGTGAGCCCGGACGTGTTTCTGATTTCGTAAAATATGATGCTCAAAGCCCAATACAAGCTTCGCCTATTATTTATCGTTTGTTTTTTGTACAGGTAAAATAATATATATACGAGTACATTATACACGATCCGCTATAATAACCTAATTTATAAGGAAACCAATTTTCCGTTTTTACCGAAGCTATTGAGAATTCTAAAAAAAAATATCTGTGTAAAGGGCCCCCACCTGTGTCCACTTTTCGATCGATATAGAGGCTACTCGAATCTTTTAGAGACTTTTTACTGCTACAATAACAATCTGGACCATCTATAAATATAAAATATATAAAATATCAAAGGAATTATTGATGCGTATAGGTATGGACATTATTAATTATATTACTTGTGAAATAAATTTAGTTTGTTCTCTTACCGTTTCGTAATATTTTTAAGAGTGCATATTGTTCATAAACTATAGATATAATATTATTGTACTTCAGCTTAGCGCTCTCTTTGTCATTAGAATCGTATGGAATTATACACATTTTTTCCTGCTAGTACGCATGCTTCATAAGTAAATGTTTGATATTATTCGAATACACAAGAGGAATGGAAAAAAAATCATAAAGCACATCTTCATGTAACATTTGTATTATATTATATCACTGCGTAATAACATAATTCAATGTCTCAATGTCGTTATGGGGCATACCTTAGCATATTAAACATTATTCTTATCAAACACGTGCCGAACAACTTAATCATATAAATTGACACTGGCAAACGTTCATTACCTCGACGCAATTTTGTGTGCGAACGACCGTATATACTACCTTCACAATCTCGCGTTGACACAATCGTGTATACCGATTGATTTGGACGTACAACAACGTTCCATAATCTAATTTAATGTAACACTCTTCTCACAATGCGAAACGGTCCGGTCGTCTTTTAAAATAAACTTTTCGTTACGTATATTCGTTTATCAACAAAATTTCGCACACCATTGTAATGTCCAATCGTGTTAGTGTAACACTAACAGTGTAATGATTGAAGACGTCCAGCCGGTCCCGTTTTTTGTGACGGACCACATGATATTATACACGATTATGATATCCG